AGGTTGTTTTCTTACAGCCAGATTGGTTTGGATATGGTAGTTTAGTTTCGCTGAAACTAAACCTATTAAATTATTTTTGCAGACACCACATTAAATTTTTAAAGATCGTTTAAAACTATATGATGAATCAAATATTATATTCAAGAGTACTAAGAATCATACCTATATTAGAAAAAAACACATAAATTTTCTTAAAAAATTGCATCTGTAAAACATTCTATTTATAGTAATCTGAGAAGGTACATTGATAGATTATCAAGAGTTGTGTTTTGTTTTAAAATGAATATTTTCAAGAGTTGCGAGGAAAAAAAAGTTCAACCAAATACATTTTCAAGACCATTAGATAGAACCATAATAATTACAACCACGAGACTGAAACTCTTCAAAAAAATTTTAAAAAGTCAAGAATTAGGGAAAAGTATGACTCTTCAAATTAAAGAGATGTGTTGTTTGAAAAAAAAAATAACTGTTCATAGAAATTTTAATTTAAGTATAAAAAAATTATTAAGACCAATAGAAGAAAAAAAACAATTATAACCAAAGATTGTAATCCTTCAAATATGAAAAAGTATGACTCTGTCATGTAAAAAGATGTGTTGTTTGAAAAAAAATATGTTAATGCCATAAATATCGTATGTCTAAAAAACATTTCTTAGGACAATTGCATGAAAAACAAAACAATGGTTGAAAAATTGTATCTTTTCATAATAAACTTAAATGTATTAGTTTAAAAGTTGCATCTTTCATTATAAAAATAATTGTGTATTTTCAAAAAAAAAAGTTGTTGAAAGGTTGTATCTTTTCATAAGAACTGAATTATATTAGTTTAAAAGTTGCATCTTTTTATTATAAATATAATTGTCTAGTTTCATAAAAAGTTATCTATTATTCTAAAAGTTTCATCTTTTCATTATTAAAAAAAGTTTATGTTCAGATAAAATAGTTTAAAAGTATTTAAAATAGAGTATAAGAATTGTGTCTTCTCAAAATAACAATTGTTGAAAGGTTGTATCTTTTCATAAAAAAAAAACTTAAATATATTAGTTTAAACATTGCATCTTTTCATTATAAAAATAATTGTGTATTTAAAAAAAATCTATTATTTTTAAAGTTGCATAAAAATTGTATTTGGACCATTAGATGAAAAACAAAACAATTGTTGAAAGGTTGTATCTTTTCATAAGAACTGAAACATATTAGTTTCAAAGTTGCATCTTTTCATTATAAAAACAATTGTGTCTCACAAAAAATAATTTAAAAATATTTAAATAGTTATAAGAGTTGCT